GTTGTTGTGGCCCTAAATACATCATGCAAAATTCATAGTCGTTACAATTAATGAACATCCCAGTTGGTATACAGCACAGTTAGTTATACAATATAGCTTCTAATATACTTACTTCATTTTCAAATACATGTTTTAGAAGGTGGATAATAGTTTTCGTCTAGCATATATGTGTAAGTAAAATTCATCTTGATTCTGTGTACACAGAAGTGACTGCTGAAGGTGGTAAGTCGAATTAACCATACTTTGTATTCTATTTAAAAACAATATGAAGCATGCATAAATTCTTACTAGTCTCAAGTGATCAATCAATTCCTGATATGTTTTGAGCTATTCCGTTTATGATAGAACGTTGAAATATATAAGTAAAAAAACTCCAGATTTCTAACTTTATTTTCAACAAGCTGTGTGTAGTAAATCTGATAATCTTCTTAGCTGTCCAATGCCCCATTGTAATGCCATGAATTTATTTGAGAATATTCAGAATCCAGAATACCAGTTACATTGGGAAAACATGTACTTCTAGTAATTATTGCTTTAATTAATTAATTAAATGCACACACACACACAATCAGGTGATTACCAAACACAACGAAATATGAGTGGATGAAGTGGTGAATATGTGTGTTTTCTATGAGTACTAGTCAACGAGTGAGTCAATTTATTGATTATTTCTGTCTGTAACATTGAGGGAGCAGATAACGATTCATATGCACACATGAGTTGAATGGTCACATTTGCATGACTAGTGAATCCAATATCTGATCGACTGTGAATGGTTAGTGCAAATGTTGAGAGACGGAAATCTACGTCATATGACGTACGTATTAATACAAATACGAGACCTATGTGAATGAACGATGAACTTATTTTGTTTCACGTTCCAATGACGATACTTAAGTTGTAGATGTGAAATTTCCAATTGAGAATATCAGAAAATTATCAAACTTACTGATTTAGTGTTAAATATATTGCATTTGGTTTCACACTTACTCAATGAGAGAAAGTATCAACATTTTGTAATTGTTGTATTAACACATGATTGTCATGTATCTATAACTTAATTGATAAATTTAACATTTAAAGTGTTATTTGTTAGGTCGTTGTTTTAACAAATATTCAAAAACGTATTCTAATGTATCAATATGAGGGACGGCGTTTCAGATATAACATGCACTAAACATTCCAACATTCGAATTACTCATCAGATTCGAATGCTCTGTTTTCTAGCTATTTTCAACCTCAGGTAAGTTTAACTGTAAGAATGATTTAAACTAAGAGTATTTTAATTGCTATGAAGCTTTTCAATTTCCTAAATTTTTAAAATCATTGTTCAAACATAGTATTGTGTAATATTGAATGCAGTTCAGTAACAGTAATAACTTAATTGATTGAGAGTTGTGGTATTGAGAGCTGATTTATCGAACGAGTTTTAAGGAGACATGATGTGATGACTTAGTTATCGATTTATAGTTCCAGGTTTAATTATGACTGCACTCATCGTAATGTCGATAATCTTTGCTTTTGGGGGGTTCGTCACTAGGTACGCTTGAACTATTACGAGTTTACCTAGTTGGAAAACGAGAGCGAGGATCGAGGATCTGGCGACACAAAGTACTAGTCAAATCCAATTGTCTCAGTCCCCCATTTTTAGTAAAAAATAAGAAGACTTGATATGAAGTAGAACTTGTATTCTACAAGCAAGCAGAAAGTACGATGTCCGCATCCAGAAGATAATCAGGATCCTGGAACCGGGTCCTGGTCACAAAACGTTACAGATAATGCGTATTTATACATTTAGGTCGAATAGGAAACAGCATCGAAGTCTGTGACACTGACAGTTAAGACGACCAATAGGAAGCAACATTTGAAGTGACATTTTATAGTCAGGACGACCATAAAATTGACCAGTAGGAATTAACCAATAATTCCCTTAGTATATTGGATGAATATCGTAACAGAAAATGAAGGCTCAAAGTATTCAATTCTCTGTCATGAAATCAGCTTTTAAAATAGTTAAAATCTTGAAATTGTGAATTAGTACAATGTACATGAAGGCGGAAACCATTGATTTCAAATGGATTTTCATCTGGCTTTAATATACAATAAGTTTTATTTGCAATGTCCAGTTTTCAAAGTCTTTTGACCTGCTTCGTATTGTGAAACATACATTCACACCTTAATTATTGACATTACAACCAGTGTTCTAGATGCTACTCACAAGGTGGCATATAAGTAGACTGCCAAGAAGTTGTTATCGGAGCGATGAAGAGAGAGAGAGAGAGGAGTATCTGATGTGATGGGTGTTTATTGAAGATGGGAAGAAATGTTAGAGAATACAGTCGGAAATCTGCTTGTAATGTAAATGGATGTTAGAAGATTTGTATACATATTCTCTTGACAAACTCTCTTCTCTAAATATATATAAATGATCAGGTCTTAACTGAATTGTGGGCTGAAGCAGTAAACTCATTATCAATAATATCATCATTGTCAGTTACATGGGATTTGAAATCTTTTACTTAACACACTATCTACTCTTTCCACTACAGTCACATACTGATTATTCATTTCAATATGTATAGGTTACTTTTCCTAAGTACTTGGTAAGTGAACCGATTATTCTAAACTATTTTTAAATATTATCTGTCTGATCGATTGGTTAATCAAATCAATCAGTTCAAGGTCAAACGGTAAGTGAGAGATGATCAGGGTGAACCTGTATTTTTGGAGATGTAGCCTAATTATACAGAAGAGAGAAGGACAAACCATTGGTTGAAGATGTTCCAATTATCTGAGAAATACATGCTACTTTTTATCAGTGAATCAGTTTGTGAGAATATTTTGCTCGGTTAACCAATATAGATTTTTACTCGTTCATGCCCTTCCCACAGAGACAAGCAGTATCAGAACTCGGACGACCAGAAAACTCAGCGCATCCAGAAGAAAGATCAATTCGTTGACTTCAGTAGTAGGTCACTCAATTCACAGTTCTCAGATTTGTAGAACAAGTTTCATTAGGCAGCTGTTTTATTTCATATTATTGAGAAATTCAACAATATTCATTTCTTGGAACTCTCTGCCTAGTTGATTTGAAAAGAAATGATCTGAAATAATATTCAATTTACATTCTGTTATGAAATATTCATTACAAATATATCACCGTTCATTGATGTGAAATGATAAGTGGGTGTGGGAATTAACTACAGTCGCTTCAGGGAGCACTTTTCAGTAGTTTTTTAGGGTTAATGATATTGAAACATTGACATTCTACCACAAACTGGCTAAGGTTATCATTACACTTTCACCATCTGATGAGTGTGTAGTATCCAATTGTTTCTGATAATTTTTTCATTCATTTGTAGTGGAGAGGTGCTGCATATGATTGCGTAATTTTCAACGAGAATTTCATTTAACTTTTGCTGTATTAGTGTTTTTCATCCAACATCCTAAGATGCGCAACACACACATGCTGATTAAAATCAGATGAAAATAAATCCCTTTTTTTATAAATTCTGTGGTGCTAATTACACTTTATTACTCTTCACTTACCCGAATCAAATGAACGTTTTATTTTTTGTCTAATAGGAAAAATGTTTATGAACGTTTAAAAGGAACGTTCAATTACTTCCTTCTAGAAGGTCTGAAGAAACAATTGGGCGGAAATCAACCATAACATTTTAATTTCGTTAACTCTGTTAGGTATTTTTTCATGTCATACTGTAATCTAATATACACAAGAATCTACATTACATCAGATATTTGTCAATCTGTAAACCTCTATCCATAGTGACTTTTTCAGTTTTCATTTGTAAACTATTTCACTATGTGTATCAATCAACAGTGATTCAACAACATTGTAAGAAATATGTAATAAAAATGTGTTCTTTCTGTATTATCCGAAATTCTGAACATGGTAAACTGAATTTTCAATAGACATTTGAAATGACTAGTCAAATGTTCGCAATATTGAGATTGGTAAATGTAATTCACTGAAAGGTGTGGTATACTCTGTATTACAATCAATACAGTCTGCATATTTATCTGTCCGTCACTAAACAAACACCTAATGCTTACTTAATGACAAATCTAGAAAAGGAATGAGAACGTAAGCTTTCGGAAAGAACAGAGTTTCAAATTCGAGTGCGTAAATTTCATTGATATTTAATAAAACTAATCAAGAGAGATCAGTATTGAGTGTTTACTTCAGTAAAAAACCATTAACTGAAATATGGCTTGTTAATTTGCCCTGAAATGTTCTACTTTTCCACGGTATACAGTAACAAGGAAAATAACAGTGATATCATTTTTGATGATTTCTTAGCCTGCATCAAAACCTACATTATGATAGCTTGATACTTGCTACCTGATGGAATCATTAAGAATAGAGGTTTATGGCTGGAGGTGACCAACACGTTTGTAGTGCAGTTGAGACCTTCTGAGTGGTGGTAGTGTCGGATGATCAGCTGTGTTACGAAGTGATAGTTGGGTAAGATCACGAGATGCTACGATGAGAGTGGGTAATTTAATCAGTTCAATCGTACACCGACACAAAATAATCCTTCGATTAGTATGGGAATCCGTTTTCGTAAATCTCTTTATAACCACGGCAATTGCATTGTACCTCCTTCTTAGCTCCTCATAAACCTGTTTTTGCACTAAGACAACTATTACACGATTAGGTGCATCGATTTTATGAACTATCGACCAGCCTACATCTAATGATCTATCTTGGTGACTGAATCGAATGATAAATTTATCGATTTCATATAGAGCATAGTTTGATCTAACGGGCTCGGTGAGTGGATGGTTGAGCGAAAAACAAAATAAATAATCTTTCCATACCTTTATTAGGTGGAAAAGCTTCTCTTATCAAATCTTAAATAGGAAGTCAAATTTTTCATTCGGTAGCTCCTTCAACTGTCAGTCGAGTTGTAACCCTGGAACCATAACCCAACATCCTATTTTAATCATCTGCTTCAGCTCTATAGCATGAATGTGGATTTCATCGAAATTAGTGTGACACTCTACTATTGCAACCGTTCTAAATGCATTCATGTGATCGTTGGCGAATTGATGAATGAAGTGAAATGGAGAAGGCTAGTGAGCCAACTCCTATAGATAAAGCATTGTAGTGAACGAGAACACAGGAGAGGGCAACCGAATGGTATTTAACGAAAATTACAGAGTTATTCAGTAAAATAGGAAAACAATATCGCAACCGTTAATTTGTAAATCTTCAATCCATTGTCTGACATTTCACTATTCATGCGTTTCATACAAATTCCATTGTGTTCCCACTCTTCCTTTCTTGATCTTCCCACATCTTCTGCTGCCAGACATTACGTTTACACTCGCGTCATATACTACTTATAAGTAGCGCGCACCACAGCATGACTAAGAATTCATAGTCAGACAAAAATAAGACAGACATGTAACAAGCGAGATAGGCATGCCACACACATGAATGAATGAGACGAAAAGATTGACAAGGTCAAAAGACAAGTGGGACGAGTCATGTGAGCTACATATTGAATTACTCACTACACGTTTACGAAACGTTTGGAAACTGAATGTATGCATTATTCGTCGTCGTGCATCCGGACAGTCAAAAATGCCAGGTTGAATTTAGGTTTCCGTAATGCTGATTTAATGAGAAGTCTTGAAACCGCAACAAATAAATATGTGAGAAAACATGAGAAAAATAATGAAATCAGCCAAATTCTAGGAGATAGAAAAAATTTAGAATTTAGGCATAATAATATTTACGCTAACAATTGTTCAGTCTCATCTACATACATTGATATTGTTACTAGTAGTTTAACAATGCTATTAATTTGTCGAACAAATGAGTAATTTACTAATCACTCAAACTACTCCAACATTTCTTCATAAGTTTCTTTATTAAGCTATTCTGTCGGAACTCATCATATCACTCATGTAAGACCAAATGCTACTGAAGTAGGAAAATTTCGACTTGACGACAGTCGTGACTATTTCTTGATAATTGTACGTTTATTATGTGTATAAATGATGGTTTATTAGTGATAAGATTGGTGATGATCATATTTGGATTGGCAAATTTATGAATATGTTGTTCAACGATTAATGATGAATACTAATATTATGAGGTCAAGGAGTACTTCTCCATAATACTTACTCTATAATCAAAGCTCTCGAACAAACGGACAGTAGTTCAGGTGATCAGATGTCATAAAGAATGCACGATTGAGGGTTATGAGCATATTTAGATTACACATCAATCCATGTACTTTAGATTTGTTGATTACTGAAATAATGAATTCATAACTGTTATACCATCATTGTGAACCTCGAAATACTGGATGACCGTTTCGTCCTATCATGGGACTCATCAGCAGGGCGTGTAAACGAACCTCACTAGCGAGAATCAAACCCAGGACAACCGGACACTTTACTTCTCTACCACTGAGTCGTGATCAAACATAACTGATGCCTAACTTTAATCAATGTTAGTTAATGCTCAGCCTCACCGATTGTCTACGGTAGTTGCAGCCTACATCTGACAGGGTTCAACTCTACTTGGTTATTAAGCTTCACTTCACATGAAAATATCACAAACAGATTAAACAAGTTGAATCGTACACATAACCATCAACTGGGGCAATTACTAGTTAATACAAATCACTCATGCTAATAAATGAATTTGCTTTTGAACACGGTTGTTACCAAACATAACATTGTTTGTTGAATTTCAATGTGTTTCAACTGCATCACCGAACATCACGATTTTAAAAACTATACTCAATTATATATTGATCACAACACGTTGGAATAGACTTATGATTTTAACATCAAAAAGCAAACTTAATCTCATGCAAAATTCATGATTGTTTATTTAGTTAGAAATTAGTATGAATGAACACAAATCCGGTAGAAAATCGATCAGTTCATGTGCAGAGAGAGAGACAGAGAGAGAGAGAGAGATATAATCACAAATAAATAGTGAATATTTACATTCTTCTTTCATTCATCAAGTGGAAATCATCATCAGATCATCAATAATGAATTCACTTTCTCTACAATTTACTGTGATTTTCACATTATCATTAATATTGTTAGTAGGAATCAATGGTAGGTTAATTACAATATATGTATATATGTGACATGTTGATTTTGCATGCGATTATGATAGTGATAAGTGTTAGATGACTAATTGTATGTTGTTTAAGTGATAGAGTCTAAAAATCTTTTGATGTGTAAAATGATATGCTTTATGTATTGTAAATGAACAAAACATATGAGATGTGGTGTCCATATATTTTGGTTGTGATTAATACTCCATTTGTTTGAAGAATCAAGTTTGCATGATGGAAAACAACGACTGTCTATTCGATCGTTAATAATTTGGAGTCAGCAGTTAATTAGGTTGTGGAACTTTGATTCTCTGATGATATTCATCATAAGAAGTAAATGAGACTAGGTTCTGACTTGCGCTTGTCTCTAAGTACACTGAAATTATGTTTGAAGTTGTGTTTAGTTTGCAAATTGTTTGGTAGTTTATGAGATGTAACTTTCGAATAATATTTTATGATCTGGTTTCTGAAGCACTAAAATGATGGTTTTACCATTTTAGAATTTGAAATATTGTGGTTATAGCCAGCATACTCCACCATCCTACTCTCTATCCTCAGCCTTCTTTTCCTGTTCTGTCCAATATTTGTTCATTCTTCACATGTCTGTCTCCATTACTCGGCGAAATGTGTTACTTGGACTACCTCTTTTGCTTTGTCCTTGAGTGTTCCAAGAGAGGACTTGACTTTTGATGCAGTTGTATGCTTTCCTCAATGTGTATCCTATACACTTCTAGCGCTATGGAATTTGGTTTGTTCTTTCTCACAGTAGATTGTTGCTGGTGTTGTCGGTTGAACGGATACGAAGTATTTTGTGTAGAAAACTGCTGATAAATACTAGTGTCTTCTGGATGATGGCTTTCGTAGTTATCCAAGTTTCCGTCCCGAAAAGTAGAACGGTTTTGACATTTGTATTGAAAAGTCTGACTTTAGTGTTGGTTGATAGTTGTTTTAAATTGTTGTGGCCCTAAATACATCATGCAAAATTCATAGTCGTTACAATTAATGAACATCCCAGTTGGTATACAGCACAGTTAGTTATACAATATAGCTTCTAATATACTTACTTCATTTTCAAATACATGTTTTAGAAGGTGGATAATAGTTTTCGTATAGTTAATATGTGTAAGTAAAATTCATCTTGATTCTGTGTACACAGAAGTGACTGCTGAAGGTGGTAAGTCGAATTAACCATACTTTGTATTCTATTTAAAAACAATATGAAGCATGCATAAATTCTTACTAGTCTCAAGTGATCAATCAATTCCTGATATGTTTTGAGCTATTCCGTTTATGATAGAACGTTGAAATATATAAGTAAAAAAACTCCAGATTTCTAACTTTATTTTCAACAAGCTGTGTGTAGTAAATCTGATAATCTTCTTAGCTGTCCAATGCCCCATTGTAATGCCATGAATTTATTTGAGAATATTCAGAATCCAAAATACCAGTTGTATTCGGAAAAGATATGCTTCGAGTAAATAGTAATACACACAATCAGGTGATTACCAAACACAACGAAATATGAG